GCAGGGATCCATTCTGGGACCATTGCTGTTTTCACTATATATAGCAGATTTTCATAGTTTTGTTAAAAATTGTGTGATCCATCATTATGCAGATGATACCCAGTTATATCACTCGTTTAATAATAAGTGCTTACTTACTGCCCAAAATCTTATTAACGACGATTTAAATGCATTACTTGATATTTCTACAGCTCACAATCTCAAAATAAATTCTAAAAAATCATCCATCATGTTATTTGGCCCCAAAAAATTAAGACAATTAACAATAAACGCATTACAAATTAAATTAGGCGATGCTCTTCTTCAATTCACGAATGAAGGAAAAAACTTAGGTCTCTGGTTAGATTCTGATCTTCGTTTTAGTAAACATACCTCCACCATATCTCAAAGTTCGTTCAACGTCTTGAGACAGTTGTACCCTAACCGAGATCTGCTTTCCACACAACTCAAACTTAAACTTTGTGAATCTCTCATTTTTTCCAAACTCAGTTATTGTGATTCCATCTACGGTCCAGCCCTACTCCAATCCGATTCCGCTCGTTTACAAAAAATCCAGAATAGCTGTCTACGTTTCGCCTATGGAATTCGAAAATTTGATCATATCTCGAATAAAATGAAAGAATCAGGTTGGTTGACTTTCAATAACTATCGCCTTTTGCATTTATTAACCCAAGTTCACAAAGTTTTACTCATACAGAAACCTGATTATTTAGTTAACAAATTAAAGACATTTTCCAATATTAATGAATTTCCTACGCGGAATCGAATGACCTTGGTGGTACCGAATCATAACACGGCTCTATTTAAAAGATGTTTTTCGTATGTTGCATGTAAAGAGTACAATAAACTTACAAATGAATTTAAATCATATAACTTGCTTAATTTCAAGAAACGCCTAAAAGATTCTTTGTTCAATAAGCAATGGTCATAAAAAAATATATTATATAATGCAACGAATTTGGCTTTGAAAATCTGTTTATTTTTTTTATACTTTTTTTTTCTCTATTATATTATATTATTATATTTCAATGTTATTTACAGGTTAAGTTGTAAATCAGCACAAGCTGAACTTCACCTTTTCATCTACCTTATATATGTATATATTTACACTTATACTAAAACTTGATGAATAAAGACGCTTTATTATTATTATTATTATTAAGAGATATAATGCTTGGCATTCTATATTATACTCTTCACAGTTTTAGACCGGGAGATAGTGACAGATTTTGGGACGCGATTTAGGCCAGTATGCCTTTTGGAGAATATTATAATATTAATAATTCGATGACAATAATTGATTAATTAAAGTGTCATCGTCTGTTTTTTACATATAAAAATGAGTTTGAATTTGTTTAAAAATTAAGCTTTTTAAAATGATATTCTCTATCTGCCACTTGTCTCAAAATAAAATTCAATCAAAATCCTATTTGAATAACCATTGGCATACCGTTACTGTGGACCTATCAGGTGGGCTTGTCCAGGTACTGGGTCTTCAACAATACCGAAAACCCACGTGACCAAATCGTCATAACAGCGATTGGTGAAAATAAAAGTAAAAATCCCTAAATTTGAGCTAGTGCCGTAGATCTTCTTTTTTTATGGTCTGCAACTACGAGAACAAAATTCAGTTAGGTAACTGTTAGAATTACAACACAAAATCATAATATTAATTAGAGGTGCTTTACATTATTGTATTGTAATGTTAGAATTCGATATTTAAATTAGATTTAATCAAATTCAATAATCTAATTTTTAAAATTATGATATAAATAACATAACCTTAAAAACTGAGCTCTAGTTTGTATTTAACGAAAAGAATAATAAACTGAAATATGGTTCGTACTAGTTATTGTCACTACTACAAAAAAAAACTTTACTAGAACAGGACACAGAAAAGTAATGGATAAAAATGTTATGCATTAAAATATGAATAAAATTAAAAATTATTTACTTTAGATTGACTCTTTAAGGGCCGATTCCACCGAGATTAAAATGACATTGTTAATGTAAAAATGTCATTTTAAACTTCGTTTAACACAACGGTGGAATCGGTCCTAAGATAATTTAGCTACAGCTGAAACTCTAAATACGATAGGCAGAAGACAATGGCAGTATTTGGCAATTATTTCAGTTTAAGTAAACAAATTTAAAACTTACTGGAATTGAACCTGGACAATGGGAAGTAATAAACACATAATTTAAGTTTGTTCTATTATTTATTTGTTACAGGGTTTAAACCATTTACAAAAAACATTGTTATTTATATGCATACAAAAAAATATTAATATTATTAATGTAACAAGCACATATTTGTTTTACTTTATCTTACTTCTCACTTTAAATTATAAAGGCATATCTATAAACAACTATTTTATTTAAAAGGTTATTGAGTAGTAATTGGTGGTGCACAAACGATACTAATTCACAGTACCTATCTGTTCAAAATCTTTACCACCAGCTTTAATGCAAGCATTAAACGTTCTTTTTTGAACACATTATGCAGTTTCTCTTCAGTTATATTTTGTATATCATTCAATATAGGTGCTCCAATTCATAAAAGTCACAAACGATTTTGAATTGAGCGATCTGTAATATTCCATATGTAGGTTTAACAAAATTAAGGTAAAATGATTGTTGCAGTATCGAAACTTTATAGGGGATGCATTATCAGAAATTTTTTGAACTTTATGGCTAGTTCGTAGTGATAAACCTAAAAAAAAATATGTTTTGAATTTCACTCGCCAGAGTCAGTCTTTAAAACACCGTTCATACCTGTTTGAGGTTCCTCAAATTTTCGAATACAATTACGAATATAAAATAATTTTGTTCCAGTATAACATTACCTAAAATAAATTATATAGTCATTAACTTTTACGAGTTACAGTAAATAAATTTGTACTTACCAACAAAAAAGAATTAAGCCACCAATATTCTCTAAAAATAACTAATTGCTTTATTAATATTAAATGAAAAATGGTGGCAAATGGACTTCGAATCCGATGCCAGCCCCCACCCAACACACACACAAATGAAAAATGGACTAAGGGTGTTTATAAAATGTAAACAAATATAATATAAATATTGTCAGTCCCCAAATGAACGGCAGTGACATTTCTGACAGGATTGACAGTTCAGTTTAGTTCCTTTTACGTCAAATCAGGCCCTTTCGATGGGTTTTTGATGGTTATCAGATCACGTGGGTTTCGGGTATTGTTGAAGACCTGGTATATTCGCATGATAAAAAAACGATTTATCTTTGTTCCTAAACAGGCTGTCAATGAAGAATATTTATGATTTTACCATACAAATGCTACAGGTAAGATGGCATACCGTTTGCGCATGTCTATGTATATCTCATAAAGCGGACATTTAGCAATATGCAACGTGATCTTGTTATTTTATCTATTTTTATAGTGTTTTAAGCTCTTATGATTTTGGGCAGTGGGTCAGGTTATTAAATAACTCTTATTACTTTGAATGTTGAGCGCCACTATGTTTAAAACTTACTAAACTTGACTATCGATTAATTATAAAAATATAGAAAATCACCAACCATTAAGATATTATAATTAAATAAGGTTTCAGATAAGGTAGCGACAAATTCTAATTTACAGAGACTTACTTATTCAAATTTAAATGATTTATTATTAAAAGACTTATCTGTGAACAAGAGTGACTTGTAGAGGCCTTCTTCAAGGGGATTCGTATGATATACTTCGAATATCACCAACTCTTAAGTATAAATCTTCATAGGTAAATTTAAGTCTCATAAACTACTTTAGATGACTCAAACTAAACCTCTTGATATACTTGAAATAAACTTCTGTAGCTGGAACTAAACTTCTAAGTTTCTATACTTCTAAACATGCAGCTTGAACTTCCTTCTAAACTTATAAACATCTCTTTCGATATAACTCCTACAGAACCGTCTAGATACAGCCAGGCTACAAGGAAAAAAGTAAAAATATCAAGAAAGGAACTAGGAAGTTTATATAGAAGACAGATAATATGCTTTTTACTATTAAATACATACAATTTAAACTATCAAGTGAATAGTTTCACAGAGACCAACATTAATCTGAATAGAAAAAGTCTTATTTAACACATTTAAAAATAGTAAAGCATAGTATCTCTTTCCTAAGAAAATAATATATAATATTATATAAAATGGATTATCATGTGTTATTCAATGTTGAGGTTATGTTTTAAATTTGACATTTTAATTAGAAATTCTTGTACTAAATATATATTTTCAACTATATATCGGTATAAAAGCTTACCTTATAAAATCAGACGGTCATTAAGAATATTAATAGACAATTAGTACATCAAATGACCCAGATAATTAAAAATTTAATAAATCAACTTGCTTGTTGACAGAGACGAATCGAAATGATAATCCAACTTTTGACATAAGGCATAAACGACAAATGACATTTGTGTAGAGATGTTGGTGTCAAGATAACGAAAACGGTTCCGACCGTTACAATGTTTGGATCTAAATAACGAAAACGGTTTCCACCGTTACAATAATTTTCCGTCATTTTAATCAGTATGATATTTTGTTTTTGTGAAGTTTATGATAGATAGTATTCGATGTATATATGGCACTGTGATCGGTTTATTAACAACCATAGGCATACGCGAAAAATTTTTGCGAAGTGGTATGTAAAATTGCCGTGTGTTTAATCTGTATGTCATTTTAGTTTTAACACATTTGTGTTATATTTGGGTGGTATAATAAATGGCATACCGTTTGGTAAGGTATGAGCTTATCAAATTATGAAGTAGATATAAAAATACGAAAAGAAACTAGTGTAAATTAAATGAACCATTCTCTCTTTTTAAGCAGTATGCCTATTTAGGGTGCGTTTTTTATATTTTGAATTTATAAACTATATTGACTATTCATTTCTTAAAGTTAATTAATTTTTACATTTTGTTCCATGTCTTATTTCATCACATAATAAAGTTTTTTATTTGTCAGTGAATTCTACTTAGGTATTAGGCTCTTCGTCGCTTTCACTCTCATATTCCTGCTTATCATTATCTAGAGCTTGATCTGTTTCATCATCTTCTTTGTCTGCTCCATCATCATGATCATTGTCATCTCGCTCATCATCTTCAACTTCAAAAGATTCGTCGATGACGTTATTAAGGTGGTAATCATTTTCGATATCTGTAAATAATAATGTTGAACAATTTAATGGATTCTAATAACTTATCTAAATAATAAGAAATCATTATTCTTATATTTTTACCTTCTGTTTCGTGGGATGTCAAAAAAATTTCGTAGTTTTCATCGGCTGGCTTCTGGATACAAGCAAAAGCATTCTGGTAATATTCTTTCGCCTGAAAATTTTTCCACGGCTACTTTTTCCCTATTCGATAAAATGCTGGGTTAAAATCACAATCTGACAATGCGTGGAACTCTGGGACACCCGCGCAGTAGGCTTGGGTAAAAATAATCGATATATCAAAATATCGATATTTTTTCATAAAATAATCGATAAATATCGTCGATATTTTTTATTCTTCAATAAATGATAATCCATATTTATTTTAGAGTATCGAATTCGATATATTTTTTAATTAAGTTTAGTATAAGGTTTGTTCCAACAGCAGTATAGAACCATTCGGAATTTATTTGCTCATGAGTAGTATGATTTAGAACAGTTAAATATTATTGCTCATGGGCAGATACATTCGAAACGGTTATGTACTGCTGTTGGGACATACCTATAGTATTTGTATCTGTGGTCTGTGGTAACTAGTGACTTTAGTGTCAACCGTCAACTGTCACGTGTGACGACGTGGGTATGTAATGGTAACGTGAGGCGATATATCCAATGAGGTGGACTTCTTCGGTTTGATTAAAATTGTTTCATTAAATAAAACAAATACATGTATATTCATTAATTGTGCATTAAATGTTTTGTTATCACTTTTAGGTCACCAAATACGCTTTTACAAAAAAAATGTCAATATATCGATATATCGATATTTTTACTTAAAAATATCGATTCGATATATATCGATATTTTTTTCACTTGCCCATCCCTACCGCGCAGAGAGTGCTTTCCAGTGCTTTATACACAGCAGTAACGTTGACATATCGCTGGTTGCTCCCCGTATCGAACAGTAGCTAAACGATCCCAAGTTATGGAATGTGGGCCATATTTCCCAAAAGTATCACCAAAATATCAATGTCGGAGCACCATATTACAATATCGCCCAAATCTCTTCCTATCGGCCTCCTCATGACCTTTACACCTAGAGTCGTTGATAGTGTGACATCCACTGGATCCCTGCACGGCATTGAAACGAGCTGCTCCGATATAGGTATGCAAAAACTCACAGTTCTGATCTAAAGGCAAGATTTATTTAGTTAATTATTTAATTCTTTACCTTCACATTTTACAAAAGAGGAGAGGCCATATGTGAGTCAGATCGGGTACTTCACGTTGAGTTTTGGACTGAATCGATGGACTGTAGTTCAAATCTCACAAAAATTGTAACGTGAAGGACCTCGTTAGTACCATTTGGGAACGCGAGACTTATGGAGTCCCTACACGCTCTGCAAAAAGGCACAGCTATTTACATTAGACAACAGAGGACAAAAATGAAGATACCAAATGTGAGTAATGGAGGCCCTAGGCGCTCTGATATGATCTGCCGGCCAAAACGCACAGTTCTGATCTAAAGGTAAGATTTTATCAGCTCATTTCACTCTTCATATTCAAATTAGACAAAAGAGGATTTGCTGTTGATTTATTATTTTAATTTTTGCGTGAGTATTTGAATATAATTCGAACAACTTGCATGTCATATTAATTTAGCGAAAGTTAATAATCAACTTGAATTATAGAGCAAAAGACTGATTTTAAAAACAGAATTTTTTTCTACAACTTGGCATTTTTCGTATGCAATCAATTATTTCAGTTAATTATGTCATTGCATCAACAATGAAATGTCATACTGACTAAATACACAGAAAATTGTTTTTTTTTTATTTTACAAATTGATATTCGTTATTTATTATGTCGAACCTATTAAAGTCGTATGCCATTCTGTATATTGACATTTAGGAACACATATTTTTCATAGTATCAATTTGGAATTGATATTAATGACGGAAAATTATTACATAACATTGCTAAATGACCGCTTTATAAGATATACATAGATATGCGCAAACGGTATTGTATTGTAAAATCATGTATATTCTTCATTGTCAGCCTGTTTAGGAATTTGAATTGGAACCCCCTTAATCCCCACAATTTTAATCCATTATTTTTTTAATCAAAGGTCTTCTTCCCGGTTATAGAACTTGATTTTTGCTAAAAATTTCAAGCTGATATTTTTCGTTTTTGAGTTAGGATTTATTTAAATATTTCAACCCTACTTAACCCCCATTTTTATTCGATTTTTTTTCTGAATAAAGCTGGATTTTCACTAAACATTTGTTGTTGATATCGCTTTTCGTTTTTGATTTATGATTTTGTTTTAATTTGAACCACCCCTTAACCCCTTCTTTTGATTCAGATTTCTTCAGAATCAGTAGGCTTAATCCCTTTATAAAGCTTGATTTTTCCTGAATATTTCAATTTGATATCTTGTTTTGTTTCTGAGTTAGGATATTTTTTTAATATTTCACTTCTCCATTTTTATTCAGATTCTTTTAAAATCAATAGATTTCGCCCCTTATAGAGCTTGATTTTTCCTGAAATTTTCAAATTTTTATCGTTTTTGGTTTCTCGTGCGAACAAGAAGCGTGACATCGGTCGGGCGGAACCTAATGCATGATACTCTTCACAGACTACTGTATGAAGGAAAAATACAATTAAGTTAGGCAATAGAAAGAGAGATGGATGTTGTTTATATTCTTTTTTATTTTTCAGTTCCTGCGTAGTTTCCAAACTGTAGCAGCATAATTTTTGGAATGTTGACCTTAAATAATTACTAATGAATCATTTGTACACCCTGCAAATAAGCTATAAATTAACAACAGGATATTTACACATAAATTCAGCCAATGAATAGGTATGCACCTAATGGTACCATAAACTAATAAAATTTACCGAACCATTACGTCACAATAATTAGTGATTATGTATAATCAATCATAATCACATTCAAACGTTGTAATCGCGTTCTACATCACGCTTACGAATACGGTGTATAACTTGGTATAGCTTAGCTATATTAACTATTGGTCTCATAACAGTGTTGTCAATTTTCTCGACAGTAGAATTATTTAAATTTTATTTGATAGTTTTGCTATACAAAAATTTCTCTAAACTTCTCTAAAATCAAACGTAATTTGTAATATCTCATTGTGAATGACTAATTAGCCGAACTAGTCATCAATTTCTATTAAAAATGTATGTAGGACTAGAAATTGGATTAGATTTTAAAGGAATTAAACATTATTTGTCCTTTCCACCGCGACCTTTTCAGATTTATTGTGGAACTGCATTTTTTAGAGTAGGAATGTCGTCTAGCTTGGTCTTTTTTATTAGATGTAGTTCTATGCGTCTGGTATTTCTTCGTCTAATTTTAGAAACCTCAATTTAGCTAGGATTTTACACTGACACAGAACCTGGATTGATATTTCCTTTTCTTCTTTACAGAACTTGCACAGTGTTGCGTCTTCTGCTGCATTGATGACACTCATGTGCCTTCTTAGGTGACAGTGTCCGGTAAGAAGACCTACTCTTATCCTAATGATTTGACGTTTTTGATTCAGTAGGTCTTTCGTGAATTTGGCTGATGGTTCCTTGATGAATTGTTTGGCCTGTCTCAATCTTGGATAGTTGTTACTCCTTTCCTGAGACTATTTTTGCGTCCATTGTTTGATGTATTTCTTGCCTTAGCAACTCCACAGAAGGATTTGGGGCCTGGCATGGTCTTATCTGAACCTTTTCGGGATAATTCGTTGGCCTTTTCGTTGTCCTGATATCTCTCGTGGCCTGGTAACCAAGCTAGGGTCACCTTGTTTTGACTACTTGGCTCTGCCAGGACTTCTAGACAGTCTTTTAGTAGTCGTGGTGAGTGAATTGCCTTTAGAGTTGCTTGGTTATCAGAGTGATGGCAAAAGTTTTGCCTAATACGTGCCGATTCATTATTTTTCTTTCACAATGTTGAATGGCTATTCGTTCAGCCAGGAACACTGTAGCATATTCTCCTAGACTCAGCAAAATCGTTGTTGTCGACTTGGGTCCAAAGATTGCAGCACCGGTTTCTTCCTTGGTTCTATACCAGACTAGTTCAGCCTGTATGGGAGGCCCCTGTTTCCAGGATTCTCGAGCTGGTATTTTAATTTGAAAATTGCTTTCAAATTTGTATGTGGTTATGGAGTAGGAATTCCTAGAATCTTATCCGTTTTTACTTGCTGGCATAGCCTCGTATGGTTAGCGTTATGTAGTTGGCTTATTGGGTTTTTTCCCTGCATTATCCTTTGAATAGCGGACCTGGTTTCTCCTTGTATGAAGATGTGCAGCGGCGTGAGGTTTAATAGTACATACCTCAATTGCTGCTATTGGCGTAGTGAGCATGGCCCCAATAACACTCGGACAGGCGAGTCGCTGAATGCCTGCACAGTTTTGGTTACCCACTGCACCATAGGTTGTCGTGGGGTATTATCACCCTTGTGTATAACCATACAGTCATTTTGGGGCTTAAACCCCAGGTTTTCCCACATATTCTTCTATAGCTTACGAGAGCTATTGTAGCTTTGTATGTGAGTTTTTTGAGATCTTGATTCTACGTCAGTCTTTGATCAAATATGACTCCGACTTATTTGGCTTCTATGACAAATGGAATAACCATGTTATTTAGTACTAGTGGTCTTAGTAAGTACCCGTTTCTTTGTGAATGGTACAACTGATGTTTTTTGTGCTTTAATGGACAATTGTTCCTTTTTGCACTAGTTGTTTACTGTGTTTAGAGCTGTTTGAGATCGCTACGAGACTGAAGATAATTGCTAGGTCGTCTGCGTATCTGGCACTGGACAATGTTTTGAGTAGATCGTCCACTAGAACTCACCACAGCTTTGGAGATAATATTCCGCCTTGTGGGCAGTCCCGTGTAACTTTTGCCTTTCTTAGAGTGGATAAAATGGATCTGTTATCTAGGTTGACAGTGATCCATTGGAATATTGTTTGTATGTTCTAGAGCCTTCGTTATTGACCTGGTTAAGGCATTATTGAAAGCTCCTTCGATATCTAAGAATGTGGTTATTGCGATTTCTTTGTCGTCTATCCACTTTGAAAGCAGCTTGTTTAGATCGTCCAACGCTAGATCAGTTGACGTTCCTGGCTGGTATGCATATTGGTTGGGATGGAGCCGAT